CTACACTAAACCAAAAAAGGTCAGAGTCAAAAAATGGCCTCTCCGGCGAAAACGAATTCGACGTGTTAGAGCATGTTTAACATGTATTCTGCTCTAATCTGGAACAATACGCTTCCTACATCAGTTTCAACTATCCAAATTACTTTCTTACGTTCAGCAAAGAAGACAATAATTCTCGCGAAATTATCGCTATACATTGAAGGCCAGATTGAAAAAAGCTGCGCAGTTCAGGTTAACATCACTGGAAAGGACGGCTCGCAATTGTGATAGCAATAACACACTACCAAGAAAGACAACTACAGTAAACTCTCCACAATGGAATCGATTCGTGGCTAGTTGAAAAGCATTAATGAAACCAAAATAAAAGGAGTAATAAGGGGGGGGGGTCTTAAACGCAGGTCGGTGAGCACCAAACAGCACAAAAGTGATCGCTAAGTTTGATGGAGCGCACGGAAAGCTGCAGAGGACCCGGATGTAAGGAGGACTACAAAGTATTAAAACAATTGATTAGCAATACCTACCCTGGACAAACATCTTGCATGAACAAAAATCTCCTAAAATCAGAAGTTACACCTTTCCACCATCTCTGCGTAGAAGCGTAATGCACGGCGCACACTCGGACCAAATCGATCGATGATAACCAAATTATGCTTTGACTCAGTTCAACGGGAATATGTGTTTTGAAGGCATATTGAAGTTCGCGAATGAGTATCCTTACAATGGCACAGAAGGAGTCGAGCTTTTGAGTGGCTCAGAATGTCGCCCAAGGGTGACCCATCTAAAATATCTTCTGAACTAGCGGGTCTCAAGGAAAACTGTAGAGCTTGTTGGAAAGAGGGAATATTTCACACTTTCCAACAAGCCTCCTGACTTCTTGTAGTTTTGCAAAAGATCGCTTTTGAAAGAAGTTGTTCTTGTCTAAATCATAAAATAAATCTCGCATTTACAACTAGGGCGTCCAACCTTTGAAAGCTTCCGCCGGCGTATCCCGTCCAAAATATTTCACGAACGAGGGAAGATACAGATTGCGAGTAGGCAGAAAACGCAACAGTAGAGGCGTTGCTTAAACATGGCTCCTTCCGCTTCTGAAAGCCCCACATCTAAAGAAGCTATCGTTCCCAGAAAACGGCGCGATTTCCTTTCGACCAGCAGATCTGCTCCACCGGTAATTTGCCATGGAATAACGCGGCCGCAAGCGCTTACAAGTCGTTAAGTATCTAATCCTTCGCGTCAGAGTATACAATTAGAGCCACAAAGGGGAAAGGAGGGTGGTCGTACTGACGCCGCCATTTCACTGATCGCGATGCTACCCTGTCCCGGAGGATTTCATCCCAGATTTCAGTACACTATTTTGAAGAGTTTTGGTTGAGCAGTCCTTGGTCTCATATCACGACTACACGGGAAAGTTCACTAATTTTAGGCAGGAGCTGATAGAAGGACCAATCCTGAACAGCGATGAGACGGATGGAGTTTCTCGGCGCTGCCGCTAGGTCACTTCCTACCCTTGAGGTGGTATTGAATGCTGCACAAGCAGAAATGGACCAGAACAGAAGTGCGGCTGGATTAAAAACTATCTATAGAAAAGCATCGGAGGGGTATGACTCTGAAAGTTTTGGCGACTTTTTAGAAAGAACTGACTTCGGAAATTGGGAACATTTTTGACTATAACTAATAGGTTGGGGAGAAACTTCTGCGACACTTTGAATAAACTCTAGTAGGAAAAATCAAAAACATTTTGAATGATTTCACCCTTGATTAGTGGAGGGTGCTCTGAGGTTTGAAAGAAGGATGCATTGTGGCTGGCGGAAGCTTTCAAAGCTTACAAGTCCTCCAATGTTCAAGGTACTTTTCGACCTGTCCCATATTATGATTTCCCCGGCCACTCCGCCGTGGTCCAGAGAGCTAATACCTGCGTTGTTTTTGGGAAGGCCGCGTGCCATAGCGCGGTGCTCGGTTCCTATTCAACGATTGCAAGCTTGACTGTTTTATTCTAAGGTGGGCAACGTACAGGTCGATCACAAGCACGACTGCTGTTTACAAGCACGACTGCTGTTGATCACAAGAACGAATGCTGTTTACTCAACGAGATGCAGCTGAACGTAACCATCAGTATGTTGGCAACGTCTTCGCCTAATTAGGCTACTAGGCTTCGACTAATTGACAACCGCCATGCCTCTCCTCAACCTATTTTGATCCTTACTGCATCCTTTAGAAATCGAGGCCTACTCAAAAATGAGGCGCACCTTTTTTTTTCATCGTACCTGCCGTAGTTCTGCAAGAGTGGAATCGAGAAGACGTGTGAAAGGTGGGTCCTTGTCCTAGTCATTGATGGTGATTGCCTTGTAGATTGGAGGTCTCGCTTAGTGAAGGGAAATTTGTCAAAAAGTATAGTCAGAGAGTCACAGGATGTTTCTTTCCAACACAATACCTCCATCAGAGGAGGGATTCTATGAACAAACTGAACATGAAGTCAGTATAAAAGCCGAGGACTACCTCTCAGAAGCAGTTCATAAGTAAAGTCTAGTCATAACTATAGCTCAAACATCGGGCCAGAGCCGTAGAGGCTCCTATTACATCACCGCTCGTGAATGCTCTTTTCGTAATTGAAAAAAGTAGGTTGGTAAAATTTCAAACATTCTCTACCTTACCCTGGCTACAGTTGCCTAAATCACGGGTTGTTGTCATTCGGTGAACTGTTATATCTTTATTGTTATTCATACATGCGAAAAAGACAAACCCGTAAAGGTACAAGACTTCAGCAGCAAAGGCAAGAGAACACAGAAATGGGTTGTACAGAACACAATATCAGAATTGAGCAGCACAGTTGACATAGTCAATCGAAGAGATTCATGAGAGCTTGAAGATAGAAACAAGCGGAAGCCTCATACAGTAAAATCATCGGGAAGCTCAGGCACAGGAATGAATGCATATCGCAGAAACATCAGAAGAACCAAAACGTTTGCTGCCTGGAAGAGGAACAGAAAAACGTGGTCGATCCGCGAGAAGATCTTGTTCCACTCCTTTTCCACCTGAAGTATTCCGAAATAGGGGTCAGAACTGATTCTCATTCTCATGTAGTGTGGCAGAAGACTGCGCGCTAAGAAGCTATAAAATCGCAAAGCAAATGCTAAACCTCGATAGTTATGACTGTTATCAAGCCTTGCACAAGGTTGAGATAGCGAATTCTCCGACTAGGGGACTCAAATCATGTCATCAACTAGGGGAACATTTCAGCCATTAGGCTGCGTTCATACTTTGCGGCAACGTCCACCAGTGACCAATAGCGCCCACCGGCGTTCGCAGCGCCCGGCAGTGTCAGCGACCAGGAAAGTATAGATATCGATCTAGCGCTGCCCAGCATCGCTAGCGTCTATGAGCAACTGCCAGCGTCTGGAAGCGTCCACCAGCTACCAGCTGCGTCTCGAGCGCTAGGAAAGTACTGGTATCGAATGGCGTCTGCCAGCCTCTAAACAGCGACCAGGGATCCGGAAGTAGGGGTGTGGGGCGAGAGGAGAGTAGGTAGAGAGTGTGGCGCGACAGGAACATAGGAGACATCTGTTGCCATATCATTGCACCATGTTCTCTACCAGCAGACAGACGCTGCTACCCGCTGGCGGACACTGAATCGATATCTATACGTTCCTAGTCGCTGACGCTGCCGAACGCTCGGAACGCTGGTGGACGCCATTGGTCGCTGGTGAACGGTGCCGCAAAGTATGAAAGCATCCTCATGAACACTGAGTGGACGTCATTGTGTGGGCAGAATTTGCACTCGAATGAGCATTAAAGATGATCCAAAATAACACCCCAGTCCTCCCCAAGCGTATTATATGTGCCACGTTTGTTGAAGATATTTTTTAGACTTTCCACGATCATTTTTGAAAGATTCGGATTGTTCGTTCATTTCTATGGCTTTTTATAAGAAAGATCCCTCGTCTACATACCCGAAGGTTCCATTGCATGCGTTCTATACGTTCTCGGTACGTCCGCTGAGCTCGAGAGACATCAATCAGTTGAGTGTAAATTGCTGCCAGATCGGGAAATCGTGGCCTGAAATAGAGTAATGAGGTATACACATCTACATGAATTGCAAATTTCCATTTTTGAAGAATGCTCTTCGGGTAGCACGATAGCAACAAAAAGTGGGGGTTGCAGGGTGGCACCAACACCACTACCACGGATTAGAGGCCAGACAAATGGCCAAGTTCGCCCATGTTCCATCGAGGCCAGCTGTGTGGTCAGGCATGTTTGTTGGTTTGAAGACAGTTTCCGCGATCAAGTGATCAGTGAAATGCCTCCGTACATTTGAAATCTAGGTCCGCCCCACATAGCGTAGCAATTTGGCCTCTCGAAAGGGCGATATGAAGTGGTCACAGATGCTTGTATACTTTGAGCTTTTTTGGTTTACTAAACAGGGCAAGCAGCGCAATTCGTAAGCTCGCGGAAGAGCCGACAAGCAGAAATTCTGTGCAACAAGCATATGAAGTCGTCCCACGACGCTGCATACAACATACTCTTAGTTCACCGTGTAACTTGTTGTCTCCAAGATTGAAAAGAATAAAGTGTAGAGGAGTCGCAGTCTGTGGCCGCTTTATCTCGGCCCATTCGGAAGGCGAAAGTGGTACACACTATATGAGGCTGGACTTGAATAAATGCACGGAGCATTTCGCTGATCCCTTGGTCGCGGGAACAGTCTTTAAGGCAGTTGACACGATATTTGGTACTCAGCCTAAAATGCTAGCAGGCCGCTATATAGTGGGGAAAATGGCGAAAAAACGAAGTGAAACGGTCGAAAACCTGAGAAGAAAAGCCTGAGACTCAAAAGGCAATTTTGGACGAGTTTCCCGTAGACACCTTGCCAATAACCGCTACGGTAGGTGCAGCTGCACGTAGGTACTCACATATCCATGCAGCACCGCAGCCGCCTTCATACCAATCCCTTCGCTTCATATTTTGCTTAGCAAATGAAGCAATACGAGCGTCAGGTACGGTCGTCCATTTGTGGGCGGGCGGGCGTGGTGGGCGTTCGGGTCGGTATGTTGTAGCTTGATAGGGCCCTTATAAGTGTACCTTTCCTGGAAAAGGCGCTGCGCAGCGCCTGCTCATGGTCGCGAATCTCCTCATGCCAGGCATGTTAATCCTACTCGTCTTAGGGATTTATCATGCCAACTGCCTTTAAAGCACAGCGATGCGAACACAAGCCACATCATTGCTATGGAGCACATACCTAGACACCAGAGAGCGCATTAGGAGAAGAAGAAGGTCAGGCTTCGCCTTCTTCGCCGACAGACGGGCTATTTCCAGTGGACGACTGGAGCCTTGCTCTCTCTAATTAGTGGTGGCAGTTGCACTTACAGGGGATAAAGGGCGGCTTTGTGATAAGGGGAAACATTCCAGGTTAGCCTGCGCTCTGCGCGACCACGTCCTGCTCCGCTGCATGAGTGCGAATGTCCTAAAGCTGTTCAGTATATTGAGCGCAGGCGTGTCATACGTTTCCGGGGAAGTGCAACACAGTTACCTTATGATCGTTAGTCTGTTGTCAGAATTCCTTGGACACGAACAGTCCTACAGTAAAATTGAATGAGTTTTTATACTGAGCTTTCCATCGCCATATTCCCCTGAGGAAACAGCTGTCCTCATGTACCTCATCTGGGCGCATTCATCTCTCTAGGAAACGTGAAAGTTTCAAATTGGATTTGCATTGTGACCATCACGTCACAACATGCCATAAACGCTTAGCATTTCCTTCTGCAAAGATAAATGAGGGGTCAGATCGATCTCGCTCATGGTCTCATGCACATCGAACGAGTAGATGGGTGTTGGGGGTCTACAACTGCTCCGGCTGATGTTACAGTCAAAACCAGAGAAAGCGGAGCGCAGCTGATGGGGCTCCCGTCTACCACCAGAAGGTCCGCCTTTGCTCCACTCACTACTGGAATCAATGCCATACCCTACCCCCGCGATTTTTTGACTTTCTGCCAGGTTTTTTCGATTACGATTGATTTGGATATCGGATACTCTCTGTCTTTGTATCAATCTCCGTATATGAGTTGCGTATTTGAGTGCTTTTGAACGGAAATCAAGAGTAATGCATAATCATCTTACAACATCGAGGGGAAAGTAATCAACGCCCAAGATGTCTAATAACCGTTCGCGCTCCCAAAGCTAAGACAAGAGTGCTGAGTTGTGACCAAATTTGACTAGGTGAAGTTGTGACCAAATTTGAACCTAGGCGAAGTTCCGACCGACACATAGCGCTTTCCGGTGCGCTATCCTTAATGGCACCAGTGCTGACGACGGACAGTACTCGACGGGAAGCACGAGGTTCAGGGAGTGGGGGGAGGGAGGAGTGATGGGGACATGCGTTAATCCCTTGAACCATCTTCAAACCAAAAAAACAAACTTACGCGCTTCTCACGATCTTTTCCGATGGCGCGATTGGGCAAATGTTGATTGCTCGTATTGCTTTCGAGGGAGTCAAAGCGAGCATCCTTCAATAGATATGATTGATATCGTCTGAATCAGTCCAGGCGGCGTCAGGAGGGCGGAAGGTGCCCACCCTGGCTGAGCTTCTTCCAATCATGGTCAATTCAGGAAGAAAACGACCACCGGTAGAAAATGCCGAGCGTGTGCTCATTCCATGCCTCCTGACACCGCCCCACTGACTGCGGCATTCTCAGTATTAAGTCGTTATCAGTATATCGAGAAGGGTTTGCAAGTGCGCTTACCTGTAGGCCCTCTTGGACGGCAGCTGTTCAGTTCTGAATATAAGAGCGTGACATACCCAGCAAAGCCATTGAAATCGCAACTCCGATGGCGCAGAGCATTATCACGACGATTATGTAGAATCCTGAACAGTTCATGATTCATAATTGGAAGTTCGAATTTCGAAAGTTCGAAGCGAGTTCTATAGATCAGGTTTGCTTGGGCGATGAGGCGGTGGGTCTGTTCAAAAGAAACCAAGATTCTCACCTGACAAGGAACTAAACTGTCTGAGAACTGAAATTTTCATGTACTCCATCAGGGACCCCCCCCCTTTTTTTTGGGGGTTGGTACGACCCCCCCCCCCCTCCGGCCCTCTGTTCCTCCTCATCGAATCGAGCCGTCGAGCGGGGGGGGGGTATATAGTACACATGAAACAGGAAAATCACGAAAAGTCAACCACCACTCCCACCACTCCTAGAAAGGCCAAAAGTAAATACGACCCCCTCCCAACAATGAGCAAGTACGACCCCTCCCCTTTGCAAC